AACCCGCTATGGGCCCGTGACCCGCAGTGGGCTCGCTGCCCCATGTTACCCTACTATGCAGCAATGCTGTTTATACATGTGATATTTATCATTTTTATTGATATATATTTTTATTTTGATACAAAAATTAGCATTAATTACCATAAGCAAAACGCAGCATTGCCTAAAACTTTACATATACGATTTTTCGTTATATCAACTCGGGTAACCTTGATGTCTGTTTCGTTATGAGTGTAATTGTTGGTCAATGAGTAATGAAAACGCCTTTCAATTCACGCATCTGCTATAATTAATGCGTAATATAATTAATACACCTTTCGATTCGCGTTTTTATTATAATTTATGTATAATATAATGAATACGCCTTTGGACTCGGGTATCTATTGTAAATAATGTGTAATAAAATAAATACGCTTTTCGACTCGCGTATCCATATAAATTTGTATATATAACAACCTGCCACCCCCCCCCTATCAGTGCTACCCTCGGAGGCGGCCCTCGTCGCTCTCCTGCTGGAGGGGGCACCCGCCTGGACCTCCCCCAGGCAGAGCGTCGACAGCGCGTAAGACTGTCCTGTGTGTCCATTTACGGCCCACGTAACCTGATAGGCCCTTAATTTACGGCCCATGTAACCTGATAGGTCGTCAATTTACGGCCCACGTAATTTGATAGGTCCTTAATTTACGGCCCACGTAACGTGATAGGTCCTTAATTTACGGCCCACGTAGACTGATAGGTCCTTAATTTACGGCCCACGTAACTGCAACAACTCACAAACCGACAGTTACTCACAGCCGCCATAATCACTATCCTTGTTCACAGCATCGACGCGGAGCGAGACTACGTTTCTGCTTCACTAGCTGCCGGCATGATGGAAACGACAGCTAACAACCTCAACAACGAGCAAAACAACAGCAATAACAGCAGCAGCAACGACGATGCACCGGAACTGGTTGGGGTACCGGAATTCGGCGTGACTCTGCACTGTTCAGTACTGGGAAACGCCGGTATCGAGCAACGGTCGTGTACCGACGATACCGTAATGGCAGCGCTCTGTGTGCAGAGAGGTGAGCTCGCCGCTACACTTATAGGTACAAATCTGGTATGTTGTGAACGCAGATTTTGAGACACTAGCAGCTAATATATGGGTACATAAACATTGAGATTATTTGCGTGCCAACACTGCATGGTGCACTATATGGGTGCAAATGTTGAGATACTTGGCGGGAAAATATTAGTACGTTTTTGTGTAGAAATTTTTCCTAAATTTGATTGCAATTTTTTACATACTTGTCGCGACAAGGTAATCATTTGAATCGAGAATTGGACAACATTTGTGGTAATAAACTGCGATTTTCAATTAACCTACAATGACCTGCCAAGAGGAATCGACAGTCTAGCTGCACTGTTTTTAGGAGTATGAACAACCATTATTCACCTCGTCAATTCATTTACAAGCTTAACGTCCACTTCATTCATCTCTGTTAGTAACTACTCAATCGAGGCTTGTTCCTTAATTGAGTGAGTTAATTAATTGGTTGACTTCCAAATGCAAAGGTGTTCAGTTTGAACCTGCTTCTAACAGTGTCTTTTTTTTCACAGTTTTGAGTGCTGTCCCTTCGCGACCAAACTGCCCCGCGAAGTACAAAGACTCCTGGATCCTGTTGAGGAGTTTCCCAAAGCTTCATGAAGATGAGAAAGTCCTAAAAGGAGAAGAGGTGTTGCCATCGGGAACTTCAAACCAAGATGGCGGGCCTAGAGGGGTTGTCAATAATGGTTCTATAGGAGCTCTAGAGAATGTGGAGGATGATGTGGTTTCTCGGAACGAAATTGATTTACCGTCTGCTCTTGGTGAAGTACAAGCATCTCCTCAAACTTCAGGCCCAATCGTGGCTTCCTCAAAGAATAAAACATGGCGTTCACGTATAAGTAAACCTGTAGCTGATGAATCCAGCAATAAATTTACACTTGGTAATGACGAAAATAAGGATAAAACACGAGAAAATGTCAGTGAGGAGCTTACGTTACTAGAACGTTGTTTCGACAGCTACACCTGGAGGAAATACGTATGTACAGGGGTGAGTCATTTGTCGGAACAAAACAAATAGCAGCAGATGAATTATATACCACCAATGGATTAAGTTCAAGCGCGTGCCATTGTAATGTGAAAAAGCGGAAGTTACTTTCTAATATAGTTTTTAAATGTTTTGAGTTTAATTACGCGATGATATTTTTTGTCCACAGTCAGGCTGGGTACAAGTGGAATTCTGTGACATCAAGCGCGTCTTCGAAGATTTGGAGGGGAAGAAAGACCATTCATTTAACCAAAGCAACAATGGATCAGTGGAGGATGGTTCACAACCTGGAAGTCCCCTTGTGTCTCTAGACAAGATTCCTGAAGACAAACACTATTTGTTCAGCTCTTCTTCTGGCCTGGTAACTAACCACGTGTTCGCCGGTATTGGGACATCATCGCAACACACTTCTGCTGCGAGCGAACTACCGAAGCTAACTCGCAAGCTTCCAACTTTCGTGTCCTGGCTTTTGAAGCTGGGGAGGAAGAAGCGTGCGTTAGACGACATTGACTTGATATCAGCCATAATGATGGAGGATCTAAAGCCAAAGAAGAAGAATAGCACAGTGAATAGTACAATGCACAAAAACAAACAGCCAGCAACCGATATGGCTTCCGGGAACTCGCCGAAAACCCTGACCGTTGGTGGACAACTAACAGTTTTGGAAGCAAGTAATACCACAGTTTCACCGGAAAACGCACGAAGTAGCGGTCTTTTTGCTCCTCTTGCCATAAATAATGGATCCCTTGGTCACAGTGACTCACAAAATCTAACTGAGCCTCTGCAATCCATTGATCTAAATCATTCTTCATCTGCTGCATCATCTACCTTGGCGAATGGGACGCTCACTCCAAACACGTTCGCTTCAACAGCTTCTACTCTACCGACAGTTTTGGAGGGCAAAAGAGAAATTAGAGGCAACTTGACACATGCCGCGGACGAATTGGGGTTGGAAGTGAGAAGCACGAGAGACAAAATAAGTCATGCCATGGATGCAGTGGAAGGGAAAGTGGATGGTAGTGGATGAAAAAGCGAATGGCATGAGAGGCAACATGACTCATGCCATGGATGCAGTGGAAAGGAAAGTGGATGGCATGAAAAGCAACATGACTCATGCCATGGATGCAGTGGAAGGGAAAGTGGATGACATGAAAGACAACATGACTCATGCCATGGATGCAGGGGAAGGGAAAGTGGATAGCATGAAAGGCAACATTACTCATGCCATGGATGAAATGAAGGAGAAAGTGAATGGCATGAAAGACAATATGACGCATGCCATGGATGCAGTGGAGGAAAAAGTTGATGGCATGAAAGACAACATGACTCATGCCATGGATGCAATGGGGGAGAATGTGAATGGCATGAAACACAACATGACTCATGCCATGGATGAAATGACGGAGAAAGTGAATGGCATGAAAGACAACATGACTCATGCCATGGATGCAATGGGGGAGAATGTGAATGGCATGAAAGACAACATGATTCATGCCATGGATGAAATGAAGGAGAAAGTGAATGGCATGAAAGACAACATGACTCATGCCATGGATGAAATGGGGGAGAAAGTGAATGGCATGAATGGCAACATATCTCATGCCATGGATGCAGGGGAAGGGAAAATGGATGGCATGAAAGGCAACATGACTCATGCCATGGATGAAATGAAGGAGAATGTGAATGGCATGACAGACAACATGACTCATGCCATGGATGCAGTGGAAGGGAAAATGGATGGCATGAAAGACAACATGACTCATGCCATGGATGCAGCGGAAGGGATAGTGGATGGCATGAAAGGCAACATGACTCATGCCATGGATGAAATGAAGGAGAATGTGAATGGCATGAAAGGCAACATGACTCATGCCATGGATGAAATGAAGGAGAATGTGAATGGCATGAAAAACAACATGACTCATGCCATGGATGCAGTGGAAGGGAAAATGGATGGCATGAAAGACAACATGACTCATGCCATGGATGCAGGGGAAGGGAAAGTGGATGGCATGAAAGGCAACATTACTCATGCCATGGATGAAATGAAAGACAAAGTGAATGGGATGAAAAACAACATGACTCATGCCATGGATGACACTCCATCTGAACTATCGAACGTTAATATGAATACCAGCAGCCCTACTGATAATAAGACCAGCACCAGTGCTCATAGTTACAATGAACTTAGTCCTAGTAACGCTAGTTCTGGTCCCGCTGGTAAATCTAGCGACGGTGGTTTGCGAAACTCAAATTCTGGTGACGGAAGATCCACGGATGCCGGCACTAGTAGCACCAGCACTGGTGATTCAGGCATTAGTGTCAGTAGCACAATTCAGCCTGGCACTAGTGGCACTGGCATAAGTGTTACAGGCACTAGTGTTAACTACACTAGTGACAATGACACTAGTGGCACTGGCACTGGTAGCACTGGCACTAGTGGCACTGGTACTAGTGGTACTGGCACTAGTAGCACTGGCACTAGTAGCACTGGCACTAGTGGCACTGGTAGGGACAAGACGGCGCTGGTTGGGTTCGTACTGAGGCAAGTGTTCGGCTGAAGGGCTGGTGGTGCTGGCTGGTGAAGATTGCAGGTTCTATAAGGCGAAGGAGACAAAAATTGTCTTGCGTAAATAACTTTATTGAAGAACTTGATGATTGATAGAATATATGTCGTCTAATATACACTGAAGTAGAATGGTTATCAAGTCATACCGGTTCGCTTGTGATTACATCCTCCGCATTCTTCCAAATGTGGATTACATCTGAATGATAATCTCCTAGATTAACTTAGGCTACATTTTATTTTTTGTTCTAATTCTACCACGTCCACTTCTACTTCTACCTCGTCCACTTGTACTTCTTCCCCGCCCACTTCTACTGCTTCCTCGCCCACTTCTACTTCTACCTCGCCCACTTCTACTTCTACCTCGCCCACTTCTAATTCTACCTCGCCCACTTCTACTTTTTCCTCGCCCACTTCTACTTCTACCTCACTTACTTCTACTTCCACCTCGCCCACTTCTACTTTTAACTCGCCCACTTCTACTTCTTCCTCGCCCACTTCTACTTCTACCTCGCCCACTTCTACTTCTACCTCACTTACTTCTAGTTCTACCTCACTTACTTCTACTTCTACCTCACTTACTTTTACTTCTACCTCACTTACTTTTACTTCACCCTCGCCCACTTTGAGTAACGCGTTGAGGGAGTGGCGTCCGGCACAAACCGTCTCTTGGATTCTCGCACAAATGAAACAATCTTAGTTATTCATTTATTTAATAGTTCTGAGGCCAGAAATATTACATTATATTATCATATTACATTCAAAAATTATATAATAAAGCCATATAACACATAAATATTATATAATATTATCAGGCCAGGAATATTTTTTGCGAAAGGCCCGCGACAAGACGTCGGGCTCAGCAATGCAGACTCGTCCTACACCTGTCTCTTATACACATCTAGATGTGTATAAGAGACAGACATGACTCATGCTATGGATGGAGTGAAGGAGAAAGTGAATGGCATGAAACTCAACATGACTAATGCCTGTCTCTTATACACATCTAGATGTGTATAAGAGACAGGAATATATACAGTACACCTTTCAAAGACATAATGTAGCAATGGTTTAGCGAAAAAAAAAATCTGATTGCATTCAAAAGAACTTGCAAATTTGCCTGCATTCAAGATACAGCTATTTGGTGATGGGAGTTCAAGTCTCATTTAACAAAGAAAAATTTTTTAATGCAAATTCAACTATCAGAGAGTATTGCTGGTATTATTCAACTATTGTCTTGAGATTCTTTGATTGCTTGCCAAAGAATCTTAGGACAATAGAATGCCAAGTAATGCACCTGGTTGATTCTAGTTAAGTAAACAGAGTCTGAAATCCACTGTGCAGCTGTCTCTTATACACATCTAGATGTGTATAAGAGACAGCGTGTAGACTAACCTATAACCTGGAATAGGTTACCTGCATAATAACCCTCGATATGTTGCGTCGTACCAATATATATTTATTGTGCCTCTTTATCTAGCTGTGAACAACTATAAATAATGTTAAAATATATAAAGAGTTTTATTGCATGTTCGTTGCATGTTATAGTAGTCATTATTAATAATTTATATAATATTATCACGGTTATAATTATTCAGATAATATTTATATATAATAATCATTCACATTCAATATATATTGTGATCTATTTATTTTGATTTAGTAAGTCGGGACCGTGGACTTTAGTGAGTCAGATTGACTCAGTTATGCTCCCTGACGAACTTCGGTGAGTCGCAGTTGACTGAATATCAAATTACTGAACTGATGAATAATGACAAAATGACTCGCGATGGTGGTGATGATAGTGATGATGATAATGATCGTGATGGTGGTAATGATCGTGATGGTGGTAATGATTGTGACGATGGTAATGATCGTGATGGTGGTAATGATCTTTCGTACCATCATGCATGTTAATCACGCACCTCACTGTTGGAAGGGTTTGTATTTGTTGCGTACAAAAGGGGCAGTTAACGCGTTGGTTTATAAGCTCGACAATCGCACCAATAACAATAATAATTATGTTAAACTATAAGAATAAACATGCCATACGTAGCTTCTCCTTTCCCTTCCCGAGATCTGTGCTTGTCGGTAAGAATTATGTGTTTGTGGGTTGGGGCTTGAGGTTCTACAGACTTGAGAGTCCACAGACTTGAGGGTCCACAGACTTGAGGGTCCACAGACTTGAGGGTCCAC